ACACGACACACACACACACGACGACACGACACGACACGACACGACGACGACGACACACACACACACACACACACACACACACACACACACACACACACACACACACACACACACACACACACAAAATTAGGAAACGGTGCCTGGCGACTGAGAAGGCTTTAACTGGTTAGCCCAGCTGCCTTTCACACAAACAGTCGAGTAGTACTTGAACAATTCATGTCAATCTCGGTACTTCAGCCAACTGCCGCCCTCTCCGGACCACTGCACGTATTCCAGCCACGCACGGGTAAAAAAACTGCTCAAATCGTGTTTTACCGCTTGTCAGCCAGTCTTCTAAAATTCGCCCTTTTCACCTTCCCGGGATGCATTTCCCACTTTTTTCACCTTCCCAGGATGCATTTCCCACTTTTTTTCACATTCCCAGGGTGCATAGCGCCAGGGGGTCGGAATTATGTGTTCCTGTGGTCTGATCTGAAATGATATTTACAACGTATATACTGCAACATCTGTTGAATTTTTTTCCGAGAAATAGCTGTATCCGCTTTTCTAGTGACAGTTTATATAACTTTTACCTCTGTAGAGAGTACTAGTAATGTTGTAAACATGTTTACAGGAAAAACACAAGAATTTCACATTCTCGTTATTATCCACTATAGGGTCCGTTGGATAACCGAAAACACAACATTTTTTCTTAGGTCTCATCGTGGTCACGGAGTGTGTGAACATGAAATCACCGCGAATATTTCACGGTTTACAGTATATCAGGGAAAGCAGGTGCAGCTAAGCCAGGCCTGACAATTGGATGGGGATTACTCTTACTTTACACGGGGTATTGCTTTTAGACCTCCTGTAAATAGACATTATACAGATTTTAACAAGTCAGACATAAACAGATTTAGTCCTCTTTGTGAAGAAGACTAAGAAAAACAATCCAGAGTGTCCTTGTTTTGGTGTGACAGGAACAAGGGCAACATGACTTAAGACACTTTAAAAAGACTGCATATCTGAGTTTTTGTTTTGAAATGTTATGATCATTTGTTGAAATCGAAGACTTCAATTGCAAGTTATATAAAGGGAATGTACTGTAATGGAGAACAGTAAAAAGTACAATAATTTGACATACACATTTCATTTCTTGATAGAGAACGGTAGCCTGGGTGCCATCTGTTTCGTAACGTTAACGGGCTCCTTACACTCGATACACCCCGAAAAAAAGTCGTTTATTCCGGGTACAAAACGGATGTTTCCGGGCTATTGGGAAGGGCCCTTTTTACACGCATTAAAATCTGTCGTAGGACAGATATTTTTCACCGTGTAAATTGGGCCTAATAACATGTTGAACCAGGGAGATTTGAAACCTCCTTGGTTGACCTAAATACTTAATGATGGGAAAAAGAATTCTCAGAAGACAAAAGAAAAAAATCTGTCTCAATGACTGAAAGGGTCTGATTACAGGGCGGAAACGTGAAGTCTCGAAAGGTTCAAATCACTGAAATGATGCTAATTATTGTGAATTACATTGTAACTGGAAAGACAGGACGACAAAGGAAAGAATGGCAGATAACATCAAGAAGTGAACGTCCCATACTAGTTATGTTGACAGTACTGAGAGCCGTGTCCCTATAGAAAACACGTTTAGCTAGTCCAAACAGTCTGCATTTACGTCTGAATTACGAGCAAAAAGACTCACTCTTCTTTTCAACCTGATATTGAATGATTGATTACAATATAGGCCTTTTCTGATTGATACAGTTGCGAAATTGAAAATCTCAAGATGAGTGTGTCTACATGTGTGTGGGTCAGTTCTAATGGGTGGACACTTGAGCAAAAAAAACTTCGCATTCCTTGTTGAATAAGTAACCACTTGACCTGGTTAGCCGTTATACCAGAACAAACCGTTTGATTTCACAGGTGTTCCATACGGTACTGTGAGGCAACTTGTTTGTAGTACATCATCACAAATGTACAACAAGGTTTCCGAGCAATCTACATGTTCGCATATTCAGTTAACTTTCAGCCTGATAAGAATCGTATGGCAACAGTCCTTCCAATTTCTAATTCCACTGTGGAAATGCATGAGCAAAAAAGGAGAAGTTTTTCGTCGTTTTGTACGTGACCTACCTACTCCCACGACCTCTCCAATTCTTTGGAGGACAAGGTTGCAATTGTAACACATGAAGATGGGAGTTTTATGACTATTAACGTTATTAACATATAATATGTATGTATAATTGTCGTATACTATGTATAAATGTAACTATTTAAAGTTTTGTAAACTAAACGCACCATGTGCAATTTTGTTTGTCATTGTGATCGTTTTACGTGTTCCATTTGGGGTCACGGCCGGCGGTCATTCGAACATAACGGGGACATCTGATTGGTCAACGACATCTGCCTATATCATGATAATACTGAATTATCATATCCCTATTGAATGATTACATCCCTATTTGTACTGAATTATCAAATCCCTATTCCAGCTAAATTAGTGATATTGACCAGGCCGCAAGCTAGCATAGTAGGGCAGTCCTAGAACACCGTGTATAGACTGGTTCCAGAGTGAGTGCATGAAATGTTGTAACAGGGACTACGTTAAACACACACGTATGTTTTTCTAGTCTCTCCTCCCTTGTGCCATCCTTTGTTGTTGCCTGAAGTAGTCTTACGTGCCACTGGATATGGAGCATGGCCCAGGCTATCAGTTTCAGTACAGTCTATTGAATACTCAGTACAGTCTATAAGTATAGAATTGTTGACCAGGAATATAGAAGGGTTTCTGTATCATGACAAAGAATCTAAACTAAAGTAGAGCCTTTTCTTCTTTTTATTTAGTGCAAGAAACATCAATGATATAACAACTGTGAGAAATAGTCATCTGCATACACATATATACAAGACATGGACAGGAACATCTCAACTAAGGAACAAAAAAAAAACAGAAAATAGGTACTTTTTCATAGCGTTGAAGGCCAACATCACATATATATATAGTCCCAAGTAGTTGTGCACTTACTGTACTTAGGAGCTATATGTACATTTCTTTGCTCAGCATAATCATAATGTAGCTGCTACCTTTGCTTTTTTGTTAGTAAAAAACAAGGAAAAAGTTAACAAAATGGAAACAATATGCCAACTGCCTAAGCTACTAAGGTGCAACATAATACTTGTCTATATGAAAATGTACATAGCATTTCAATTACTATTAATTAAATGCTTCAGATCTGTTCCAGCAGTCAATTTCACTTTGAGACGTAGCAAATCTGCTTTAAAGTGCTTAAACTTTGTTTTTCCAGTAGTAATGTACATGTACACCAACAGAGAATGTTTGACATTGCTAAACACACACGTTTGCTTCATACGACCTGAGATTAGTTTGCTATTGAAGTGCAATCAGTTATGACCTAATATAACGGCAGGTACAATCTTAGCACCATCTGTATCTGTATATAGTCAGTGTAACTTCCCCTTGGCTTATCATACCAGCTTCACTTTGAGCATGTAAAAGAAACATACCTCTATATTATGGTGCTGCTATTCCTTAGGCCATTTTGATTTGATTATGTGGATGACATCTACACATGCTTGGATTTTTGTCCGTCTCCCAAAAAGTTTTGGACCAAACTGTAAATCATACATGTATACACTGCTGTCTCTTTGTAACACTCCCTTCCTACCATTGATCTACTAAGACTTGACTTTTCTCCAACTCTCAAACTGACACTTAAACATTGAAGTCTGATGTACCAATAAATCAAATGCATTTGTCATTCATTGTAAGTAAACATGCACAAATGCCTCCTATTCATACTACTTCAACTTACTCCTTTTCTGAATGTGTTTTCAACTCCCTCTCTATCCTTTTTGTTAAAACCAAAACCAAGGCCAGACTACCTGTCTACATGTAACAAAGCAGAATACCCTTGCTGAAGAAATGAGAGCATACATGTGCACATTTAGGCATAAGCTAGATGTTGTTGCAACTGAAGCAAGATGGCACCAAGAACCTTGAAGCAGCTGTCATATTTGAGTGACCAGAGGTAAGAGTTGAGAAAACAAAATGTCCAGCCAAATACAATTTAGATGTTGACAAGATGACCTTCATATAGCAAAATCAGATTACTTCTAGGACTATTGTTGATAAGCAAGTTTTAAAGTAGTTTAAGACTCCTTGGGTAGCATTTAACATGATCAGAATATACATTGTAACATAATAGCTCAGTTTGTTTCTTTCTCCTTCAGTCATCAAAGATAAAGCATGATAATGAACAGTACTATAACTATGTGAGGCAGTTGCATGTATTTTCACTCTGCTGTTACAATTCACTGCCAATTCGTTACCTAAATTGTAGATATGCCTCTTTATTTTGCACCTCAAAAACACTAGAAAGTGCATGCAACCAAACGAATGTGTCATATTGGTTGGTCACTGGTAACTGTATCAAAGGGTTATACTGTAAAATATATATTTCGCAGTACCTAAACCATAAACTTTTTGATGTACAAAACTTGGTACATGCCAAAAGAATAGTATTTTTTGGTCAGATTTCTACTTTTTGGTTTAGAAGAGGGATTATCTACAGTTAGGTAATGAGAGTGGCGTGGTCTATCAGCATGGTAAGAGTTCCTGTTGTTGGTGAGTTAGATTTGTTCACTGTCCCGAAGGAAATCTTCAAAGGCCATCGCAGCTTCATCGTCCATTTCACTTCCGTCTTCCAGCTCAAAGGGTGGGCTACAAGGGAGGGAGAAATGACAAGATTGTAAGATGGTTAAAATGAAAGCTCATCCGTGTTGGTACAACCATCTCTTTTTCAGCTCCATGGTACAACCCAACACAACAAGAAAAGTCATCATGAATGAATTCTACCTTTGTCAGATGAATGATCCAGTTAGTCATAAGATAAATGATTGTACATGTACATGTATGTCGAGAGTAAGAAAAGTATATACTCACAATGACCCATCATAGTACTCCTCCTCCCCATCCTCAGTGTAGTAATCTCTGTAGTCACTGTAGTCACCATAGTAGTCCTCTGCTGCTGCTCCTTCCCAGAAGGCTGTGGGGTTATCACAAAAACATGTTAGTTCCTACGTACATACCATCAATCTTTTAATTGGGATGATATTAATGAATCCAGTGTTCTTGAACACATCTCAATTTTGTTTGACACAACATCATGTTGAGTATTGAAGACATGACAATCCTAAGGTGGTTGGGGGCACACTCCCCCGTGAAAATTTTCAAATCCTGAACCTCTGGAATGCTATTTCCTGCATTTTGGGAGGCAAATTTTACTAGTAGACTAAGCTTAGCTTACTGACATCTCTTTCTATATCTTGACATGATAATTTTTGTCCATCAGATAGATTGGGTAAAATTTTTGTCCATCATGAGAGGCAAAACTGTATGAATCACATAGCAGTCAGAAAGAAAGAATTTTAATATCACTCAAAGTGCTGTGTCTGTGGGAGCAATTGGTTTTAACCCTTTCATCCCTGTACCTGTCTGTGGGACCAATGGGCCTACAGTAGGCTTTAACCCTTTCATCCCCTTGCCTGTGTCTGTGGGATTGATGGGTCTGCAGTAAATCTTAACCCTTTTATTTTTACCCTCGTACCTGTGTCTGTGGGGTTGATGGGCCTGCCATCCTTCCCAAAGTAGACAGGTTCTAGTGTTTGTAGGTGGGAGGGCAGGGCGGCCGCCGCGGCGGGGGCTGGCTCCTCCTTGTTCCAGTTCTTGGCTCGCAGCTCAACAACCGTCACTATTAGTAGCAGAACGTTTCTGTGGGCAACATGAAACAACGAGAATAAGTGAAGAACACTGGCACACTTGTACATATGTGCCAATCCAAATAGTAAGGTCCAGAACTCCCAACACAATTCAGCCGTTCTGGCTATATAATATATCCAGTATTAGTTTGAAATATCTATGAGTACATGTATGGTACCTGTGTACCAAAGAAGATAAACATGTCATTTGCATACTCGTGACTCACGCAATGATGCTGTAGACTTAATTTGCATACTTGTGACATGCAGATGGCAATGACATTCCTACATGGTGTTGCATATAGTACCACCTACTTGCTGATGTCACTTCTCCTTTCAGCAGCACTTTTCTTAAGTTTGGAGAAGATCTCGTCCATCTCCTTCTTACTCTCCTCCACATTCTCCTCCTTCAGGTCCAAGTAGTCTTCAAAGGCACCTCCAGTCAGCTGAGGGTAAAGAGATGGTAACCACTCTTATATATCCTATAGTATGTAAATACTGAGTTCTTTTAATTTTGATTTTCATGGGATTGGTCAGTGTGGTGTCATTTAAGTACAGTCCACCATTTAGAAAATACAGAATATTTTCCCTTGTTCAAATTTTTCAATCTTTTCTGTTTATCCTTGCAGATATAAAAGTGCCATGTACATGTGGCAGTGGAAGGCAGTCCTTCAGTCTTTGTCAATATCTTGGTCTATCTTAAGACTGAAAAGTATAATTGACTGCTTCTAACCTTACCTTGAGTGCTTGAGCAGCACATCTGAGTGTACTATCAGAAGGATGATCCAGTAGTGTGTTGATGAGATCTCTCAGGGCCTTCCTCAGTATAACCATGCGCTGTGGCTTACCATTCACATGGATCTGCACAAAATAGACATGGTCCATGAAAAAAGTTTATATCTACATTACCTCACATACATACTTTATTGCTCAACAACATGATTAAATGTATGGCAACTTGTACAAAAATTCTGGGAAACAGATCTACTCTACAAAGGAACTATGTACTATACATGTAGATAATTATGGACATTCAAAATGCTGTAATTGTACACAAGTCAACTGTGTACCAACAAACTTTTGGTGAGACCTGGAATAAAATTTCTACTGCAGTCAACCTTCACCATCCCGATCACCCCACCTGCTAAATACTATTGCATTACCCATCGGGTTGAGATATACCCCCCCACATCATCCAGACCAAAAACTGTACCTCCATTTTTGGTACATGTAACTATCACCCCCATGAAACTCCTTCCTCTTCGCCCCCGCCGTTCTGCTTCGCCCCCGCCCCGTTCTGCTTCGCCCCCGCAAAAAATCTGCTTCGCCCCCGTCGTTCCTCTACGCCCCCGGCGCAATTCTGCTTTGCCCCCGTCCTTCTGCTTAGCCCCCAATGGCGGCACAGCTCACAGTCGACACGAAAATCGTCTGCAAAATAACAATAAAGGCTGTGCCGCCAAATTTAAAGTAGCCCATGCTCCGGCAAACATTCTGGACCACCTTTCTGCCAAGTGGCGTTGCACAAATCCTTCCCATTCAAAAGTTTACCCCTGCCTCACGGCCCGTCAGTGGTTCTTACGTTTATAAGTACTGGCGGGAAATTTCACTCACGGCTGTACTTATAAACGCCAGTACTTATAAACGTAAGAACCACTGACGGGCCGTGAGGCAGGGGTAAACTTTTGAATGGGAAGGATTTGTGCAACGCCACTTGGCAGAAAGGTGGTCCAGAATGTTTGCCGGAGCATGGGCTATTTTAAATTTGGCGGCACAGCCTTTATTGTTATTTTGCAGACGATTTTCGTGTCGACTGTGAGCTGTGCCGCCATTGGGGGCTAAGCAGAAGGACGGGGGCAAAGCAGAATTGCGCCGGGGGCGTAGAGGAACGACGGGGGCGAAGCAGATTTTTTGCGGGGGCGAAGCAGAACGGGGCGGGGGCGAAGCAGAACGGCGGGGGCGAAGAGGAAGGAGTTTCATGGGGGTGACTATGCTTGGTACCATGAACCATATTGTAGTGAACAGAAAAACAGTCCTTCTGAGCCCAGTTGAATGTTCTTCTCCCTCTGTATGACCCACCTGCAGTGCGAGGAAGAGTTCCGCCATGAAGAGCGTGTATCTCTCCAGCCTGGGCAGCCTGCTGCGGTCCTGTACGGCCTCCTCTCGACCCTCAAACTCCTGGTGACAGTGTTTCAACAGGTGTTGCCGGAAGTTTCCTGTCTCACTGGTCACTGTCAGGGTCTGGGACAGGTGGTCACAAAGTACCGCGCCGGTGTATCTGAAGTTGGGCTGTTCACATGCCTGAACAAATAATAAACAAATAATAAACAAATATTAAACAAACAAACATCAGGTTGTGTGGCAGGTGGTCTTAATCCCTCAGTATAAAATTGCAACATGATGTAACCCCAACACTAGTTACCATGATGACAGACGTCTGGTTCAGGTCATTGACCTTATTTGTAGTGAGAAGAAAAAGAAGAGGAAGAAGAAGAAACAGCAAAAACAAAGGTAAACATAATAATTCAGTTCCTGCATTAGATGCCAAAAAACAGTACTAATGAATGGATAGACTATTGTTTGTGAGTCACTTTTTGTTTTACCTGTTCATAGATGATGTCTACGATCTCCAGGACCGTGTTTCCGTCACTAACCCAGGCGTTCAGTGTGTCAGACAGAGGGCCCAGCAGGTCATGGAAGTCTCCGGGGTTGTCTGTCAGCTGGGTTAGCGTGGACTTCAGGTGCTCAATGGCGTTGATATCAGAGTTAGAGCCCCTTGTCTGGACCTGGGAACAGATTTGCCAGTGTGATAAATCCATAACATATCTGACTGGTGCAATTTCCAAGTGAGTAGAGTACTCGCCTTGCATTCAATACGTCATGAGTTCGGAAACTTACCACAGTTCTGGGTACAAACTCTGCAGCGTGGACGGACAGTTTTGAAGAAGTGACCGCGTTCTTGTCGGAACTGACCGATGTGTCATCAGTGTCTGTACTTCTGCTATCTGTACTGTCCACTGCAAGAATGCAAAAGGGCATACATGTAGAACATACATTTTGTACTAGACTATATCATTATATACTAGACTATATCATTATAATTCTCCTGAACAGATTACACCAGTTCTACATTTTGTACATACCAATAGTGGACAGGTGATCTTTATGCCGAGGTGCTCACTACATGTACAGATTTTACTCATAATACCAAGTCTGTAGTCTTTAACTTTAAGCTTGCCTTGTTGCAAGCCCTGAATAGAGTCCTGTTATGCAGTTTCAATTTGTTTATTTCTTGTTTACGACTTTTGATCTCAATTTGCACACATATGCATGTAGATGGGAAGTTATTAGAGATTTGTACTTTTTTGTACTAGTTATACAAAAACAACTGACATACCATCATCATCAGTCTTGATGCTGTGGTCTCTGATGGTTTGTGGGAAGGGTCTTCTCAGCTGTGGCTTCTCTGGAGTCTTCCCACCATCCTTTGCAGCCGGGTCGGGTGAGTTGACAGAGGGGGAGGAGTTGGTCCTCCTGTCCTGGAGCCCCCCTGTTCCCCCACCCCCCCAGGGACCCTTGTATACCCCCCTGCCCCTTCCCCTCCCTGCTGACAGTGAGTCTCCGCTGGCCTTGAGATCTTCAGATGACATGGCTCTCCGCCTTGCTTTGAAAAAATAGAACACTAAAAATCCATGGAGGCATGCAAGGGTGGGGTGGACAAAACATAACATGATTAGATATACCAGGATAGTGTAAAACTTAGATGTGAGTTTTTTCACTTATTTATTTACTTATTGCATCATGTTTTGAAATGTTGACAAAGGACTTAAATAAAGGAGTTCCTTCACAAAATTCACAGCTTGTGATTTCTTATGTGTACTAAATTATGATTGATATTATCCTATGTCACGTTAATTTTTCTCATAAAAATTATAATTTTGATGCTTGACAAATCAAATAGTCGAAGATCTGGTTACTCCCTAAAAAATGATAGAATTTACTAGTGACGTAACATCGACTTTAAAGTCTCGTAGATAGTTTAAAAATGTTAAGTGTAAAGATAGATCAAATGCATCTTTGGGACACCACAAAACGCAAACGTCAAAATGTTGGCAACGTGGGAGGGGGGCAGGCGACGATCAAATTTCTCTCACCGAAACTTGGACAATTTCCCGCCAAAATAACATCGAATGCACATTCCTACGACGCCTTTTATCTCGTAAACATACACTTCATATTTGTGAGCTGTGCACAGTTCGATATAGCTGCACATATTTGGGTAAAAACGGTAGAATATCAACTCACTTTTTCTTCCGTGTTTTGTTGTGATCTCGCTGAAGTCTCGTTCGGAACTGAAAGTCACGCGAGATTTGGGGTTGACCTCTGTTGACCCCAAGATGGCCGCGATGGGTAAAAAACGTGGTGGGGTGAAACAAACTGGAGATCAAGTCGTCAAGAAGGCGAAAACTGAGAATGGAGAGGACGGAAACTCACCCAAAGTACAGCCTACGATACAGAGAACAGCTGTGGAAGACAAGAGAAAGAAGGTATGACGATGTGAGGGTAAAAATGCGAGAGTCAATAGTAGTGGGAGGGGGGCAAAAGACTACATGCGTGCACAGTGTAACTTGCATGCATATGAAAATTTCTTTAGAGCGAAAATGATGTGCGTCTTGATTTTTACATGGATTCGATATTTCATGATATACATCATTAAAAACACAAAGAAATAGTATCCTTTTAAGACACAAAGCCTGATTGGGAAAGAAAAGACATAAGGTAAGGTAATGGTAATGGGAAGGTAAGGTTGTGTTTCTTTCTTTCTAGCGACGTAACGAACGTAGAAAGATGCAGAAAAAGTTGAAGAAGAAGATGCAGAGAGAAGGTGTGCAGCAACCAAAACCTGCAGAAACTGTAGAAGAAAATCCTGAGGAGTCAGAAGAAGAAGATGACTCAGAAACAGAAGAGCAGGAGGCTCCAGTCACCAGGGAGGATCCACCACCTCTGCATGGTGTAAGGTTTTTAGAGATATGTGCTATGGATATAAGTAGGCAGCAGGGCTCTAGCCAGCACCCATTGTTTTGTCAATTTCAGGAGCTTGATGGACAAAAATCTTTGAAAAACATATTAAAAAAAAAACTTGTAAAAACATCCAAAGGACCCACCCAAAGCACTCTCAGCCCCATGGTTTTCCTCTCAAAATGTGGGGAAAATTAGTGTTTTTTTAAAAAG